AGACGAGATAGTCGAATTGAAAATATAATAATATTTATTTTATTATGTTGTACGTTAGATACAATAATAATAATAATATTAATACAATATCAATGATCTGTTCTTGCCTATGTCATTATCGTGTTACTGTACATTTATCTATTTATACAATTAAATCTTTCACGTAAGGATCTGTGATCTTCCCCTAACTATTTCACGTTAAAGGAAGATCAACGAGCCTTAATTAACAACCATTATAATATTAAGTGCGGTCAGATCTGTTCGCAACATCATCCGCGCTTTCGTAAACAGAGTATTCGCGTCGCTTTATCCGGACATTGTTATCCATTAGGAAAGAAAACAACAAAAAGAAAAAGGGGGGGAGTGGAGAATTCTATATTTCATTTCGAATCAGGTGCTAAAAGCTTCACGCTCGTTTAACTGCTTGTTAAAAGTGGGGAAGGGGGGGAGAAGTTCATCATTTACACTTACAATTAGAACTTTACAAAAGATATTTTTTGTTCATTTTTTTTGTTTTCAACTTTAAATATTAATTAAAATCTTACGTAAGACTGCGTTAGATAGAATTACCGCCGGGCTCTCGTTGATATTATTAAGAACGGTCTATGCCGACGAGAGTTTTGAGATCCACACACACGCATAGGCACCACGCCAGTGATCGATCTGGAATATTCCCTTACATCCTATGCAATTACTTTTTTTCATCAGGGTCGACATGTTACACGTATATTACCTAAGTTTACACGACGCTTACTTTCATTTACTTTTTTTTTTTGTTCATTGGTGCAAAACAGGAAAATGAAAGAGATAGTTTATTTCGTTTATAAATCGTACAACATTCAAGTACTATTCCATCCTTTAAATATACGTCATTGTATTCAAAGTGGCTTTTTTTGTTTGTTTGTTTTAAGAAAAGTACAAGAGCTTGTTATTCTCTCTCCTCGCATTGCTGCTGCTGCCTCGTCGCGTACTTCCATCGGTATAAGTAACCTTTTTATAATAATATAAAATTTTTAATTCACATAAACGTGGTTTGCGTTCAGTCAAAGTAATATCGTTACCCTTAAAAGTAGTGAATCTATTCGCGGGGGACACAATGGGAAAGAAAATAGGATAATGATAATCAGGCTGTTTTTAACGAACGTAACGTGGCAATTATTAAATAGCGTTAAATCGAAGCAAGTTGTATTAATCGGCGTATCGTGATGTTACGATTAGAAAAATCAAGAAATCCATAGGATTTATATGATCGTTTGCTCGGTGCATTTCGATGGAGAGGAGGCACAACTTCCTCTGTACCTCACTCTCTCTTCCTCTATCCTGTTTTTGATCGATATCATATTTCTCCTTCTTCTCGTCGCAGCCACGCACTTGACAAATGTTATTTCACTCGCTTGTTGAACACACCTTCGTGAGCACGTATTGCTTTCGACAGCGATGTTTTATTATCCGCATGTACGAGTTTATCGATCGGCATAAGTTCTTTTTTTTTTCTCTTTACGACGATGATAGTGAAATGTTACAAAACGTTTCAATACTATATACGAATATAGTATGTATATTTATATATATATTTATTTATATATTTATATGTATACGCGCAGACAGGAGGCAGATAGGTTCGCCTTGTTTTGTTGCCAAGTATCCTCCATAATATATACAATTGGTGATTTCTCTTTTTTCCCTTCGGAGCTCCGTTTTAAGAAGGAAATAATGCCACGCTGTCTCGGTGGTCCGAGGTTCCCGTTTCGAACGTTCGCGAGAGGCGACTACGGAGATCCTTCTGATCGTAGAAAAATCTTATACGATTCTTGTCGATGTGGTTCGGCACGGGTCCCTTCGGAATTATTTGGCATCTACGATAAATAAATATGACGAAACGTTTGTCTGTGGGCGCCGAGCGTTGCAAAATTTCCGATAATACGTGAGGGTACGTGGGAGGGGCGGGGGGATTGATTCAGACTCCTTCTCCGTAGTCGCGGTCGCCTACGTTGATCCGATCGGGGGCCGCGGTCACGCTGAAGCCGAGGATTCTATTATCCACTTTGTACATTTTCCCCTTCTTTGGCTTCTTCGACTTTCCCTGAAATTAAAATAAACATTATCCAGAATAGACGTATAATTTAAACAGAATGTAAGAAAAACTCATCTGGATAATTATTTAGGATTATGATTTTGACGAAAGTTTTATGCGTCGATTCAACTTGATAGAAATCTTAATTATGTAATAGAGATTAAATTAAGTGGGAGTAGATGCTTAATTTAGACGCAAGAGATACAAGGTGTAAGAGAAAGACTATATCGGGGTAAATGCTCAGAATTAAAATTTTTGGGAAAGCGTTTCCTGTAACAGTGTTACGCTTTGACTCAAGTTGATAAAAGCCTTGATCTTGCCTCCGGGATTAAAAAATTTTAAATGGGCATTTTTGGGAAAGATTAAGAAATTTTACTCAGCAACAAGTTACTCTAAAACGATGACTTCTGCTTTAAATCAAAGATTGAAACTTGAAGATTGAAAATTGTACAGTAAACGTTTCTAATAGAAAATTACTTTGTTCAGTTCAATATTAAAAAATAAATGAGAGTCAAGATTAATTAATTTTGTGAAAACAGCAACGAAAGTGTCGTTTCTCACAAGCCGTAATGTAATTATTATGTAAAAATAATATGGTTACAGTTTTTTTCTCAATCCTTAAAAGTTTAACTACCTTTTTTTTTTAGAAATCTCATAAAAATCTGATTGTTACTTTTATTACCGACAGAACTCCCTTAAATGACTCAGCCTGTATTTTGTGGATATTCAATGCATGAACTCAGAAATTTTTTTAATCTTTTGTGACATAGTAAACTAAGATTTCTAACATCTGATAGAAAATTAAGTCGTTGTTTCAGTATAAAAAAAGAGTTAATTTAGAAATGTGTTCGGATATTAATGGGAGTCACTGCGTATATGAATATATTTATACAATACCTTCACTTCCTGAAATTCCGTAGGTGCATTGGGATTGACGGCGGGAGCCGGCTTGCAGAGATCGTCCGCCTGGGCCTGAGGTCGCTGCGCCGACCGCCATTTGCTGCGTTTCTCCAAAAACTGTTTGGCGAATTCCGAGCTCTGCTTATTATCGCCAAGATAGTCCCGAACGTATTCCTTGACCTCATAGGCAGATTCGATGTCCCGTAGAAATCCGACGAACGTTGGGACTACGTGCGAAATTTCGTTGGTCAAATCGTCTATGAAGGAAACACATACATAATAAAACTGGGCAACTTACTGTCCACAGACACCTGCAAACCGCTCAGTGCTTTGTTGCACCATTGCGTGAAGTCGTCCGTCTTGGCAGTGTTCTGTTCGAATAATTTCTTTACAAGTTCCTCCTCTCTTTTATTCTTACTCTTATTCGCCTTGTTAGTCGCTTGCTGCTGTTGACCAGCCGCAACAGCGGCAGGAGGAATCTTAGCCATCGCGGTGCTCTGTTTCGCGGGCTGTTTTACAGCGCCACTGGATTTGATCAAAGTAGAATCATCCCAGAAACCACTCGACCCGCTATTGCTCGACCAAGCTTGATTATTGCTACTTGAATTAGCCCAGTTCAGACACTGAGAAGCGGTGCCCCATATTCCAGCGTTCTGCAGCACGCTTGTTGATTCTTTCTGTCCCGCTTTCTCCTGACGTTCCCTTTCTTGCTGCTGAGGCCAGCAACAAAACGATCAGTCAAAATACATGTACAGGAGATAACAAGAGGTCGTCGACTGAGAGACAAAACGCAATAATTTACCTAAATACTGATAAATCTAATATCTTGGAAGATATTTTGATTGT